ATAACATGAAAGTTTACCCAAATATGAATGCTCAATTACAGAAATCATGTATTCAACTCTCGGGCCTGGATGGTAGATTACAGGGAATTTCTCAAATCATGTTACGAAACATTCAGCAAAATACCAAGGATCCTAAAATTACCAAGCAATTAGAAAGAAATATGGTTTTTAAAGAAGACTTATAAAATTCTTAGCAGCTTTCTCTCCTGGCGGCGTAACAAAAAATCAAACTTAATAAGTCATACTGTACTATAAATAGATTTTTTAATTTAACGTTAAATTGTAAATTTTTTTGATTCTTGAAATCCTGTACAACATAGATTAAATTAAGTAATTCAACTTCAAATTAAAGACGTTCATAATAAGTAAAATAGAATTCTAACGTTGTTACGATGTAAAGACGCCTTTTATTAAGAATTTTGCGTTTACAGAATTAAAAAAATGTTAGATATTACGGGAGGAATTAAAAGCGAAAGAAGGCGATTTTCCTATGGTCTTTAATATTGCGTGCACACCCTATTGTCGTACCTAATAATTAACCAATCATATTCATTTAAAATCACGTGTTTGTGATTAACTTATTCCAGTCGATAATTAGAGTCGATTAAAAATTAGCTCTTACGTTTTCGCCACTATAAATATTTTCAGATTTTTCTGAAAATAATTGATACCCTTTCCTGATAGGATATCCGCGTGCGGTACCGCATTGTGTGCACATCACTTGGAGTTGTGATTCCGGTTTAGCTATTTTTGATAAATGGATAAAACTAAAATTTTCTTTTCTCAAAAAAAAATCAAGTCAAACTTTTTTAGAAAAGCTTTTTTTTTATTATTTACGTTTAATTCGGATACGCGAAGTAACACCCGGTAAGAGTACTGATTCACATTTTTTGCATAAAGTTCTTTTAATTGAAGGATCGATTCTGAGAACTTGTTTTGTGCCAATGGACTTCATTGTAGAGATATAAAAGCGGGAAAGCGGGATTAAATTTCTAGTACTAGTTGAAGAAGTAATCAATGAACTCTGTGATTCATCAGATTTATTTATAGCAGAAGAAATTGATTTTGGATTTATTGAATTGTTTGATTGTGCTAAAGTAATTGTTGATGAGGTGGTTATAGTTGTCATTAA